AAGCAATCGAAACAGTCCTCTCATGCAGCTTCATGATTTTAGTACTGACATGACCCATTTTTAAAGCGATAGCGTCGGAATGCTCGTTTTGCAGAAATTCTGGCATCGGCGTCAGTTGTGAGTGATATATCATAATCCTCTGCGTGAGTAAAAAATTCAGAAAGATGCGAATCAAAATAAATAAAAATGTTTGGGTCCAAGTGGTTATTGAATCCGGGTCGTTTGCATTGCAAGTGGGCATTCTACCACACAGCCCTGCGTCTCCTTGTGAATACAGTGAAAACAACTTCCTCTACTTTTGAACGCAGTGGAAGTTATGACAAACACACACGTCCTGTATACATGCTTCACAATTCAACATGAAATATTGCCGTAATGATGCGCAATACAAGAGGACAGAGTCATTGGGTGTCAAACGTGCGATTATCATAATGACTGAATAGCTTAAAGCCAGTCACCCACTACAAAAGACACACACGTTACTTCGTTTATACCCTTGTGAGAACAGAGTAAGCCCTATACCCACTGTGTATTTTAGGCCAAGTTTATGTACCTTTTTCCACATAATCATAAGAGCTACAGTAATCACTTTACTACCACTGTGAACCATTCATATTCTTATTGAAGCCGATTTTGCACTGAAGACTGTAATGCTCATTTTTGAAACCTTTGTCAATACTCAGAATGCTGTCTAACTGCGAAATGCCTCCCCCCTCACTTCTGAGTAGCTGTGCAGCACCCGCTTTGTCAAATTCATGCAAATATGTCCTTCAAGGTGCTAGAGGGTTCGTAAAAGTTTGAAGCAAACACAATGATGCAGGAGCGTAGACACAAGCTTTTTTCAGAGGAGGTACACCACCTAAAAACGGTACTTTTTTTTGCTGTATGCCAAGGTGAAAACAATTTCAGGGGGGGGGGGGGGCCTGGCTGCGCCACTGCAACGACGTCACCAAAATACACAAGGCACGTCTGTTACTTCTAGCCTAGCTTGAAAATGCGGATACAGTGTTGGCCAACACTATATCTTTTCTATTGTGTCTTGGCGGCCCCAACACTGACGAAGAGAAGAAGAACCGTAGAACGAAAGCCCGCCCATGGTGCCGGCAGGCACGCCAGAAGGCCACCGCACAACGGGGCGCAGAGCGCCGAAGGGACTTTGCCTCGTCTCAGCGCTCGTCACCAACTCCTTATTCACACATATATACACATCGCCGCAACGCGAGGCGGCACATGACAATCAAAACCGGAACTGATAGAAGACCACAGTATCCATAACACGTTGGAAATAAGCAGGAACTGAGCAACAAGGTGCATGACCTTGAACTCACACAGGCCGTTTAGTGTTATAAAGGCAGTTTTTTTCTCAGTCACTTCTCTTAACTTCAGTTTGCTAGTAGCCGGTCTTGAGGCCCATAAATGCAGAGTACTTTATGTTGTGGAGTCAATCGGGGACATCGTCTGCCCACGAACTCATAAATGGCTGAATGATGTCAAGTAGCATTTCGTTGACTTGCTTCTTCGCGACCTCACGTTCGCACATTGAAACTCGGTACGGGCTCTGACAGATTGGGTAGATACTTCTGTTGTGATGCGATGTTTCGCCAGCGGGGTCTGTCGAATCTTTGACGATGACGAGAAACAATCATGGCATCGCAAGAGCAGGTCTTTGAGCTCGTCATGCTTGCACTTAGGAAAGCTCGGCCTGACGTCGAAATCGTCAGTTCTTTAGGCTACCGGGACACGACTGGTGTTGGCGGCGGCGCAGGGGTCCTCACTGTGCCTGCAGTTGAGCTATCTGTCAATAAGGTCGATCGTGATAAGGTTGCCGGCGATGAGTTGTTCATCGCCACCGGCCACCTCACCATCGCACTTTTCCGATGCTTATCCCCTGAGGCACTGCCCCAACAGCGCGGAAGTCATCCCAAATCGACCACCCTCTGCCGATACCGAAAGGTGAAAAAACCTTTTGCAGCAAATTGTGATGTCAGAGAGTTGAGCGTCGAAATGAACTTATATGTGACAAAAGTTACTGCTTCTCACATTTATGGCTTCTTGCGTTCGAAAGCATTGTTGATTAATCGTCGCCGGTCGTAGATGCCGAGAGCGGTGTCAGAAAAATTTGCTGTGTGAAAGCTGATCGCAAGTCTTTGTGCTATTATTTATTTTTTTCGTGTTTTTTTTCCAAACTTCTGTTTTGCCGGTGAACAAACGTCTGGAAAATGAGCGACCTCGCTCACCATGCATGAAATCGGTGTGCGGTGCTCGCCGCCGTGTACAATATTTTCGTCGCATATACAAACAACAGTGGGGCACACGTTAGCGTGCACCTATATGCTTTAGAGTGCCTTTCTTATCATTTTTTTCTCGCTTTGTATGCCCCATATTTATAACGCTACCTTGTCGTAAGTGTTCATTGTTATGTTCGCTTTATGTGGACTCATTTTCGAAGGGTAGCGTAGGGAAATCGTTAGTTCACCGAAACAGGGTTGTCATAACCGATATATCGTTATTCTGGGATAATAACAGGGTTGGACTTAAGTATCAAGGGCTGCATCTGTATTGGTCAGACGGGAAATTTCGAACAGCAGATAAAACAGTGTGTCTGTCACACCTGTCATGGGTATACCCAGACGGGGGGGATAAAGAGTGCGTAGGTGGGAGGGGCGGGCTCAAAACTGTTTGAAATTTTCTATTTTGCTTGTGTATATATACAAGCACACACACAAACGCATGTACGAACATTTATAAGGTATGGTTAAATCCCCCTTCGAAAAAAAAAGACTTTTGACTACTCTCCTGATGCCAATGACGGTAAGACAAGAATGTCTTTAAGTGGCTAGGCAAAGGATGCAAAAAGCTTGATCAAAATGCATCGCATAATTCCGCAATTAAAAAAAAAATATCTGTCTTCAAGAGATCACTTGCAATCCATTTCGATACAAACAGACGATGGTACACTGAACCTTTCCTCTTATTTACTCCCGCTTTTTGCGTCACACAATGATGTCTGCGTAAATACTGTATCACATGTCCTCGTTTTGATTGCAAACAAGGCTCCCATTAGAAGAGGTAAGCCGCCTTTTTTTCGTGCTGTAGAAAATGCAGAATATCTAAGGTAATTATAATGTGATCATTAGGACTAATTTTAAGGCTTTTATCAAAGGTATCTTTCAGAATTACCGTCACAACATTTGAGGATTTGTTACCTGTGGTATGAGATTCCACAGCATTTGGGTGAATTATGGCTGGTGCGCTGCAGGAAATGTTAGCCTGTCAGTCTGGCTCGGCAGCTGCATTGCATGTGCATCTCGTCACTGTTCGATAATTTGCGACTACATGTGAGCTGATTCAGTGACACAAAGACATATATATAAATAAATATATATATATATATATATATATATATATATATATATATATATATATATATATATATATATATATATATATATATATATATATATATATATATATATATATATATATATATATATATATATATATATATAAGACCTCTTTATGCACAATTCGTGGACTTTCATTTCCCACAGTTCCTCTTTCCAGATAATGTGCGACAATGCATACAAAATAAAAGCACGTTTCTTTTGTAGTTTGAGTGAACCATTGTGTCAAGATAACATCTCTTGCATAAACTCATGGTATATATACACTTTCTATTGTCTTTTGTGTAGTACTATTTGTTCAACGCAATACTAATGAGAACTAACAGTAAATGATGCCAAGGAAAGTATAGGGGATATTATTGGAAGTAGTTGTAATGCAATTGTGACAAAAAAAGTGGACACAAAGAAAGCTTGCCGTGGGAAGGGACTGAACCTGCAACGTTCGAACAATGCGTCCGATGTCCTACTTTTCTTGGCATCATTGTCTGCCATTCTCGTTAATATTGTAGCTAATAAGCAAAACGAGCCCTTAAATATACCCTCCTTTCCTTCATTCATAGCGAGGGTCTTGTTCTAGCAGACTTGATGCGTTCAGATAGTATGGGAGGGATTACTGGTCAGCTGCAAACTTGTAATAAGATCAAGTACTACGTGACGCCAAACAGGCTGATAAAGAGTGTTCAACACTCGCCACCATGGCTCTAAACGGCCAAGACTGATGCTCCCACGTTTATTTCACACATATAAGCAATAAAGTGAATGGGTGCATGGCTGCTGTGGTAGCTCGATTGGTAGAGCACCGAACGAGTTACTCAAAGGTCGGAGGTTTGATCCCTGCCCACGGCAAGTTATGTTTTCGTTCACTTTTCTTTTTTCACAACTACATTGTATCCAGATATATCCCCTATACTTCATTGGCAGCATTGTCTGTTATCATTAATATTGAGTCTAACAAAGAAAACGAGCCCTTCAATACACTTTTTCAGTTGTTCATGAAATATTAGTTCAAGTATTTGTCAACAGTTTTACACACGTCATCCCATCTCTTTTCTTGGATATCGTTTTTTTACATTCCTCATGCTAATATTTTGCTAAAAAAATTTCTGTTTTCATGCTCTTGCTTAAGGCTTGCAAAACAGCCCAGCTATATGAATCAAGAACAAGTACTCAAATGACAGTTGTGAGATATTTTCATCCTTTATTAGACTTCCTGAAGAATTCCAAGCACTTGCAGCACTGACGAAGTGAAAGGCAATAATTAAAGCAATGTAATGCACCTACTTACATCCCATGTCTTAATTTTGCGTCATATTGGCGAGATTCCAACTCTAGCGCTTACATGAGAGTAAAAATTAACTCTAGCGGTTAAAAATTTGTAGCATCATGACACTGCCTTCTTGAAAAATTACAGCTACTATTAATTATACTAAAAGTTTTAAAGTTGCATTTCAATCCTAACCACTGTACACAAGCAGTAACCAAGATGCCCCCAAAAAATAGACCTGTGTGCCCGAACAGACACTGTGGTGTGTATTCTTCAATTGGTCAAAGGTGGAATGTGGTTGCCTGTTGCTCAGTACTGTTGGCGTCGGCTGATCAGCTGCTGGTGACATGCAAGCGGTGCGTGCGCAAGTGAACCTTGACGTTGCTGCGTTGCGAAAATGCAGCCGGGCACAGCGGGCACTGGTAGGGTCGCTCTCTGGTGTGTGTGCGATAGTGGCACACCAAGTGCGAGCGGTGCGCGAACCCGCGGCTGCAGAGGTGACACCGAAAGGGTCGCTCGCCCGTGTGCACTCGCTCGTGCAGCACCAGGCTGCCTCGGTGCTGCGTTGCGTACGGACAGAAGCGACACTGGTGCCGCAGAGCTTTGGCCGGGGATCCTGTTCCGGGCCCCAGAGACTGTTCAGGCCCCTTTGTTGATGCCAGTGGGATACCTGTACATGCAAATGCAAAGCCCGATTAGGAATGGTATATAACCTTTTTGAAGAAAAAAATGGAAATATAAGAGCTCGTTGCTAGGGGCAACATTGTTTGTTAGTTTTCATTATGACGTTTTTCTGGCTTTCAAGTGTGCTTGTCTTTCTCTTCACTGTTACTTCACGTGGCTGTAAGCACGTAGATATCTAGCCCTTAGGTATACAGCCCCTGAGATCCTTTTGTTCACACTCCATAGTGTAGCACAGGCCTCAAAATAGCAGGCCTGATGCCACAACGTTGAATATGAGGTGTTATAGGTAGGATGCCACCTCCTGAAAATTAAGAAAGAGACTTTTCTGAGCAAGTTCGACCTCCATTCTTGAACAAAAGTGCACCAATTTAACGAATACGGCAGCGCAACACAGTGCGTTGCCGGGCTAGTTGGTTTATCGTGCCGGGTTTGCACGGCGTGACCGAACGCAGACAGAGAAGAACTGAGAGTGTGCATGCATGCTGTTCTCTGCCCGCATTTCGCCATTCAAACTTGGAACACAAACCTAACGAAACATCAACTGAGGATTTGCTAAGGTAACAAAGACACATACTCGCAGAACACCACGCGATTCAACAAACATACAAGAAAACTTGTAAACACCAGTCAACGGTGCACTCTCAAGAAATAAATCTTAAGGCTATGCAATGTCATGGATGGCAGTACAACACGTTTTGCTAGTCTCGATTACAAAAAGTGCTTCAGTCTCTCTTGCTACCCGGTCGTGTAATCTTGAGAGTACCTTATTACTAAAATATACAGATGCGACGCCACACTCTTTGCAGTATAATGACAAGTCACAGCACGGCTGTACTCTCAATGATGCTCAACGATCTGTTATTCAAACGACAGCCCCTTTCTCCTATATAAAGTTCTCCGTAGAAAAAGGATGTGCTATAGATATCTCCTTTTATGTGCCCCAACATACAGCGTCATGGTGCTCTCTGCACAGTAACACACCAAGAGACAGCGTTCACTGCACAGCTTAATGGATGAGGTTTCTTGACTAAGCAACACTAGGCATTGAAAAGTGACCGCTTACCCTTTTCAGAGCAATGAACTAATCGGGCAACTTAAATAACACAGTCACCGACATGATCTCCACGCACATCGATGTATAACACAAAGCATGGAATTGGATGTGCCTTACGCGATGTTCACTTACAACACAGTCATTCGGGGGGGGGGGGGGGGGGGGGGGGGGTCAATGAAGTTCACATCACTTCACCTTCTCTATGGCCACAAAGTTCGGAAGATGCTGGATACTTCTTTTAATGCACATTATGCATGATACACTGCCAATAACAAAGTGTATAAATGCATTACTGACTGCAGTTTGAAGTCATCGTTCAGTGTCTCTGCCATGTCAGCTTTGTTTGTTTGTATTCATTCTATTCGCTGCAGCTGCCGGATAAGCAGATCATATCAGTTTATAGTGGCCATATATTGTAAGCCATAAAATTTCTATGCTTCTTTATTTAGCAAGGCAACTTTCCACAGATTTTTCATAGCTTCTTTTTTTTTACTACTCTACAGTTAGCCTCCACAAATTATCCAGCGATTTTCTTTCTGAATTATTGACACAGATATCACGAACGAATGACATAACTTTTTCTTGCGCAGAACCACCACGGATCGAATGGCATTTGTTGCACCGAATGACAATTGAACCTAATAATAATAACACCTCCAGTGTGACTGTGGTATTACCTCTTTTCTAATTGAAACATTACCGCACTAGCCACAAAAAATACTTGGCAAGCGCGAGAATGTGCAAAAAAACATGCATCTCAACGAAGTGAACCATGACAAGAGGTAGAAGCTAGTTCATAAAATCTATAATGTTTGCATTGAAGTCACCATAAAGGGTTTGTGCTTTTAGCTCTCTTACATTGTTGTGACACAATTATGATTCATATTAGTGCACTTTAGATCATTTTCTTGTGTCTCACATATGTTACCTGAGCGTCGCTCGATATAATGTAAATCGAGTGACATAAAGTGAACTAAAGAGACGACGACAGAGCTAGGTGCAAAGGTTCATATTGTTAACATTTAATTCACTGACTAGTAAAAAGGTTTGTGCTTGTATGTGTTTCATATTCTGTCACAATTATGATTGATATTAATCCATTAAACTGTTCTTAAATGCAAAGCATTTCTTAGCGAACTTCAGCGACGTTGAGCGTATCTATCTATCAATCAATCTATTTATCTATCTGTCTATCTATCTGTCTATTTGCCTGTGTGTCTGTGTCTAGCCGCACACTACTTTTAGCTCTCCTGGCCATTTCAATAATGGTATCGATACCAAGCTTGGTATGGCATAACATGACTGTATGAAGAACACATTTGATCAGTCATAAAATGAAAATCATGACATGCGCGTCATGTAACAACATGACTGCGTGTCACGCTCATAATGCACTTGCGGCCGTTTCGCTAACGTCGCATATACTACCATATTAGGTATTACAGTACATGAATGGATGAAGAAGGTATGTGACTGGTGCAAACATGATAATCAGGAGATGCGTGTCATGTAAAAGCATGAGTAGATACTACGCTCATGATGCGCTCGCAGCCGTTTTGCTAGCTTCACATGTACCAAACTCAGTATTACGCGACGCGAACGGACGACATAGGTAAATGGCACATTCAACCATAATAATCCCGACATGCGCGTCATGTAAATACATGACTACATGCCACACTGATATTGCGCTCGCGGCCATTTAGGTAGCTTCACATATGCCAAATTTGCTATTACGTGACTCCAATGGATGACGAATGTATGTGACTTGTGCAAACATGATAATAATGGATGCGTGTCATGTGAGATTGTGACTACATGCCACAGTCAAGGCGCCAAAACATTTTGAGGTGACGCGGTGCGCGTGTTCGCCGGCGTTCATTTTGTAGGGTCATGCCAGCGTTGCCACTCCAGGCACCGGTTCTGCCATATACTCGAGAGCACGCGCCGCGCTGCATTGCTTTGACGCATGCGCGTTTCAGCGCGTCCGGCGTCCCTTCGCCACAAAAAGAGGGAGACGCAGTGTTGTCTGGGTAACGCATCGGCGCGAAATGCAGCATGTCACATTTCGCCCCAGTTGCCATCGGGCTGAGCCGAAGGACGCTGGTCGCGCTCGGTGTCCGACTATAGAGTGCTTGCGCTTTGCTAACGTGGTGTCGCTGTGCCCAGCGTGCGCGCACGTCAATGCTACTTTGGAGTATATTGGGCTTTTTATAATGCCCTCGTGACCGTTTTGCTAGCTCCACATATACCAATATTTGGTAGTACGTAACGTCAATGAATGACGAAAGTATATGACTGGTGCAAACAGGATAATTCTGACACACGTGTCATGTAATAACATGACAACATACCACGCTCAAAGTGTGCTTGCGGCCGTTTTACTAGCTCCACATATACTAAATTTGGTATCACGTGACGTGAATTGATGACAAAAGCAAAGAACACATTCAGACATGATAATCATGACACAGAAGTCATGTACGGCCTCATTTACCTACACCTCGTAACGATGTGCTGATTTTAAAGTGAAACATGAATATTTCTGACTCGCGCTTCGCATATCATCGATTGCTACTGTACGCGGGATCTGCCATTTTTTCTATCTCACATCCACATAGCTCCCCTTGACAGCGGACGAACGCAGTGGACGAACATGCCTTGACCCTAAAAAAGCTTTGCCGCTAAAAGAAAATGTGGTAGGTGTCACTACCTGGAAATCTCCACACTGAATTCCATAACGCCAGTGATTTTGACAGTGTCTACCATGTCCTAAGTAGTTTATAATTGGTAACATTAAAAATAATTGCCCTCTAATTGTTTAATCAAAGGGGTACTGAATCAAAATTTTTTGGCTGAGATAGCCTGTGGGATCGATTCGCATAAACATGAGTATATGTCGTGTAATAAGAGTAGCAACGGTGGTTACTTGATAAAACAGTACTCATGATTTGAAACAGCACAAATTAGGGCTAACTGACACACATCATATTGTTTCCAGCATGTTCATTTCAGGTGATATCTGCGTAATTTCAACCCAAACACATAGATAAGGGCCAATATTACCGTATTCATACAAAAGTAAGCTGATTCGAATGCAGGATGACCCCCCTAAAATCACACTGCAAGGAAAATAAAAAAGAACAAGCACATCTAATTAAAAATATTTATGATATCCCAAAAAAACAACATTGAATTTTAGTGTGCCAAGGTGGCTTCATGACAGTGCTTGAAATCTGTGCAGAAAAGCTGGCTTTGCGGAAAGACAGAGGTACTTTTTCGAGAAAGATTTCACAACCGAAACTAGTTTTTGGTTATTGGTCGAGCCCCAACTTTAGATTTCGAAATATGACAAAATGGTTTCGCCTACAATCAAGTATATACGGTACCTTTGTAGACCAGATGCGTTAGGACATGACATGATCACCTCAAGCAAATGTGCATACAAGTCATTATACTAAATATAATTTCATGTAGCATTTCAAACTGCGAGTACGTATAGTGAAACCTCGTTATACCGTAGTTGACCGGAGCTCGGAAAAAGTACGTACTAAACGGTAGTACTGCTTAACCGAAATAGCGTCAGGTCGCTCACTTACCTGTCAAAAAAAGAAACCTTCAGGGAGTGCGATGAAAGAACAAAAAACGTGCAGTCATTTATTAACTTCGCGTGACAAAGTCTGTAATCTTCATTTGACAACGTGGGGGCCTACCAGCAACGACAGTGGCCTCAAACTCACTTATGCTGTGAGTCAGCTTCTCTGCCAGAGCCCTTTTCTCGGCAAATACCCGCATGACGTGGGCGCAATGCACAGCTTCGGCCACTGTCGGATCTGGATCACCCGTGTTGTCGCTTTCCATCTCGTCCTCGTCACTATCATTTGGCGACCCTTCGACAACCGAAGCAACAATGGCTTCGTCGGACATGTCCGGAGATGTCTGCACATCGCTGTCTGCGTCTCTGAAGGCGGGGAAGGAAATGCCTTCCGTAACACCCTGCCCCTCCAGCAATTCAGCTAGCAGAGTTTTGCAAGCTTCGTCTACGATGTCCGTAGTCTGGCCGATGGTGTCACTGGCGTCATCTGCGTCACCCGCACACACACTGAAGCCAGCACGCTTGTAGCAATTTTGAACTGTCTTTGCTTCAACCTTCAACGAGTATTCGAGCAGGTGAATCGCGCCAACCAGGTCGATGGAGAATAATTTGCCACATTCAATGGCGAGAAGAAATCTGCGCAGCAGATTCTTCCTGTAGAGCTGTTTTACGGCTCGAATGATGCCTTGGTCCAAGGGCTGGGCAATCGCTGTTGTGTTTCGTGGCAGAAACGCCAACTTCACAGCCGTCAGGTTCTCCAGGGCGACGTGCGCCGAAGTATTGTCTAAAATAATAACTCTTCTGTTCTTAGCCTCAAAACGACGTTCGATGAGGCGCACATACTCCTCCAAGAGTTTTGCCGTCATCCATGCTTTGTTGTTGCAGCGATAGATGACCCCTGATGGCAACCAGTCGCCTTTGAAACATCTACGCTTCGCCGACTTTCCAATCACGAGGAGCAGAGTTTTGTCGGTTCCAGTCATGTTTACGCAAAACGCCACTGATAATCTCTTTTTTGAATGCTTGCCGCCGGTGCACGTCTCGCCTTTGAACGCGAGCATTTTGACTGGTAGCAGCTTAAAGAATAGCACCGATTCATCCATATTGAAGATGTCATCAGGTGCGTAGTCTTCCAAGATGTTCTTCAGCTGACCATTTTGCCACTGCTCCGCGCCATCCATGTCAGCAGCAGCATCTTCTCTCGAAACAGTCCTCGTGGTAATGCCGTGCCTCGCCTTAAATCTGGCCAGCCAGCCATCGCTGCACACGAAGTTTCATGGTTGAGCTGCGAGGCAAAAACCAGGGCCTTCCCCACGAGCAGGAGTCCGCTGATAGGTAGATTTTTTGCCTGTGCAGCTTTTAGCCACTTCACCAGCGCCTCCTCTACATCCGAAAACGCCGAACCACGTAGCCGGCACCTTTTCGCAGTTGCAGTAGCACTGCCGAGCAACTTCTTTCTGGAATTCCAAATTCCACACACCGTGGTTAACGGCATGTCCTTTTCGCGTGCCAGCGCCGATTTTTTCGTTGCTTTTGTCCCAGCTTCGGCATGACGCAAGTACGAAGGAGTACAAGCATACATACACAACACGTGAAAAACGACGCGAGAGCTGTATGGCACGGATCAACCATAGAACACCTATGCACGGTGCCAAAGGTTCAAAGAAAGCAAAGCAAGCGCACACCGTGTTTGCGTATTTGTGCAAAGCGCCATCGCGTGGACAACACCAGAAGCCTAGCCGGCCGAGTGCTTCTTGTTGCATAAATATCAAAGAGATCGCACTCACCAACACAGCCACCATTATCATCAACACAAACAAGCGAGGCCTGTTTCGATCTCTGGGGCTTGCTGTTATGTCGGGACGCCCAGTGGGGGACGACATGCCGCGGCGAGTGCACAACGAAACTTGGAAAAACTACTTCTTAACCGATACATACGCGATAAGCTGGTACGCCTTACGTGGATACAAAATGCAATATGTTCAATGGCCACCGAGTCGGGGATTTGACTTCTCTACTTTTAAAACAAATCTACTGTTTACGCGGGTACGGTTTAACGAGGTTTCACTGTACTGAAGGTATTCTTGGGTAAAAGCCCTTTTGACGTACTTATACCTGTGCCTGTGGTGTGCCTAGTCCATTCTAGCACGCCATAAGCATGGATTGCCTAGGAAGATATATCATCTACTAACGCTGAACTATATTCTTTGGGATGCATTCATGAAATGATGTATTTTGTGCACCTCTCTTTCTGGAGCTTTAAAATCGCGAACAAAAAGTGCCGAAATTCTGAAAGTCATTACAGGATTTCTGATTCCTGAAAAACAATTTTCAGGCTAGCCGTAAAACCATCCTCCATGTTACTATTCGATAAGTGTTCCTTGCAAGCATAGTAAGGAGTCATGAGCTCTCCAGCTTTTCTTGGTGTTTCTTGAGCCTACCCTTCAAACTAATTGGTTCACTTAGAAGGTAATTACCTTCTTCTTGCAAAATTCATAGCCATAGGAGCAGCACTCATCAACATATTTGAATACAATCACTTAGAAGCACTGACTAAAATCGTGGAAAGTGCTCGCCTGTGTTGAGCCATGAACAGCGTCGGCAGAGACTCAGCAGAGCAGCCTTGCTGAAGGAATGCACTCAAAAAAGCCTGCGAGAGCTCCAGATAGAGACAGAAAGCCTGCGGACTGCAAAAATCAAGGCCCTCATGCACAGAAACCTTGCGCGTGTGTGACACAGGCAAGGGTTCTTTGGATGCGGCAGACATCATCTGCTCAGAAACGACCTACTAGTAGCGCGCACCAAGCACTGTAGAGCCTATAATTAGGTCACTATCTATTATTAACTGCAGCTAAAGCGTCTGTTACATTTGATTATTGACGTTGAAGATAAAAATTGGGTAAATACACAATATATGAGATGTTCTCGTCATCTATTTCATTTATATGTAAGGTTTAACGTACCAGAACCACCATATGATAATGAGAGATGCGAGATGTCATCGTGATTTTTATGCATTATGTCCCCAAAAGAGTATGTAGGCAATGTCAACACACTGGAAGCATCATTTGCCATGCTACACCATTAACCGCATTTTGTCCTCGATGCTCTCAGGCCGCCCTGTGGTGCCGTGATGGCCTAGCACGATTTCCTCCTCAGATACTCTTTAAATGCGAAGAATTTCTTTGTGTACTGCAGGTGTCTTAAGCGTATGTCTAACTGCTAGTCCAGGTGCTCTCATAATCACCAATTTAATTTGGGGTACACCAAAATAAAAAAGGAGGGTAAGATGGTGAGACGAATATGACTCGCTGGTCATGACATGAATAATTTCACAATCCCGTCATGTATGTCAACAAACCCTTGCCGCCAGACAGTGGCACATACAAGAGGGCAGGTACATGCCACAGGTGTTTGGCAGTTTATACCTACCCTGGAATAGTGAAAGCAGACATGGGCAGCATTGTCTGGACGAATGCAAAGAATACAATTCAAAGTCCCAACAAGAATCGATCGCCAGCATTCTGCGTGGCAATAAAGTCTTCTACCAGCCACACCAGGTCTCAGAACTACTTTTCAAATAGACCCTAACGTTCGTGAAACATCAATGATGGCCGCAGTACTGGCTATCCAATTTTATAAAAAGTACATATGTATTCCTAAGGTACAGCCGTCATGTTAGGATAGCTAACCTCAATTGTAGGTAGGCGCCATCTGCTGAAGTTGATTTATGTAGCAGTGTCCAGGGCTCCGATCTTTGCGAGCACAAGCATTTCATATCAGGTTACCGCTCCTGGTGTTGCTAATATATATATTCATGTTGGCATTGTTACCCAATCGTAAACAACTAGTCATATAAAATATATGCAGCCGCTTAATGTATGTCTGTGTGTGTGCATTTTACTTATCTTTAGCGCCACTTTATGAAGTTTCGCTCAATACAAAAATTAGAACACAGCCACCTTCTATATGCGTGCTTCACATAAAATCAACTTCCTAGGTACATTGGATTTGCCTAATTTTCTTCATTTCATGCACTGTCTTATTCTTCGACGAGTGCTTTGTTGTGTTTGTTATGGCAATGCTATACTTATCTGGACAGGTTGATTCTTCAAAATGGAAATGTCCTGAGGAGTTGAGGGCGAAAATTAAAAAGAAGACATCATTCTTGTCTCCACATTTAATGCATTTTGTTTAGTGCATTAGTGTTTTCACTGCATCTCATTTTTATTGTACAAAAATAATGTTTATAGAGGCAATGATAAGTATACCAGAATGACATGAACACCTACGAAGTTGGGATTATATAGACAATTGATTTCATTGATATGTGGGGTTTTAACGTCCGAAAATCACCATAACAACTAAATCTATAATTGATATGGTGGTGGATATGAGAGGCGAAGTAGTGAAGAGCTCCGGAAATTTCGACCAGCTGGGATTGTTTAACATGCACCCAAACCTGAGCACAAGGGCTTACAGCACTTTCTAATTAATCCAAAATGCAGCCGCCACAGCTGGGATTCGATCCCACGACCTGCGAGTAAGCAGCGGATTACCTTAACCAACAGACCACCGCGGTGGGGCATTATATAGACAATTTAAGAAGCCCCAAAAGTACCTCTGGAGGTTGCAAATCATAAAAGAAATGCTTTAGGAGCCTGAAAGGCTTAAACGCAGAAGAAATTGTGCTGTTTTAATGAAGATGTGTAATTCTCGACATGGTAACCACCCTGCTGCAGCGCCTTCAGGCTAAGCGGTGTAATCATCGAATAAAGAAAAAAATAAAAAATGCATTGGTGCATTTTTTCGCCAATTATGTGGACACTCTCAGCGGTTTTTTTGTTCGCAATCAAGTCCTGTGTGAAGACCAGGTCCGTAGCACTGCTGTGTACAAAGCATGTTCTATGCACATGTAAAGCGCTCACGAGAAGTAGGCATGCCTGAAAGGCACGTGTGATAACACCACCTACATTCGAGACCTACTGCCGATGGCTCCTCAAACCCTTGTGCTGTCACTGGCACTGGAAAAACAGCGGTGGCACGCCCACTATCTCAAAAGATAGTTCGAATACCTTTTGATGTGTTGCACTTTCACTACTTTGCATTGAGATGACAGACAACACGAAAACTGCTTTACTCTTCGAAACAGCTGTATTCTCTTACACAAGTGTTTAATAAAGTTACATATGTTTGAAGCTGTTAGCCTTACTTTGTGTAACATTCTGATTTGTTGCTGTTGCATACATTGCTTCAGCCTTGTGTTAAACCAAAAGAATCATGAAGGCACTGAAGAATTTCGAAACAAATATGTGTGAGATCAGTTCTGGTG